TTATAAATATACTTTTGTTTTCAAATATGCTATTATAATAAATAAGAGAAAAAATAAAAAAAATACGTAAAAAAAATATGATAAGAGAGAAATAATTAAAAAAATACACGCTCCTTCTCATTTAAAGGGCTGAAAAGAGTAGTGGTAGGTATATGGTACTGATCTCGGCTGATTGTGCTTCATGAATAATGAAGCAACGTAGCCTTGAAATTGCGGCTGCTTCTAGTTAACGTTGCCATAGGCGAAATGCCCAAGGCTGGCTGCCGGAGCTTTGGGCTTGGCAATAACGTAGCGACCAAGGTGGGATACCTCAAGCGGGTGCGAATCTACCTCTAGGTGTTACATTTATCAATTGATGGTTGCCTCGAGTGAATGCCCAACTATTCACACGCACTTCCCACTCTGCTTTCTATAGTTGGCATACATTAGGCTTCATCAACTCAACTCATTTCCAAGACTGAGGTGAGTAAGATAGGTATTTCATTCGAGTGAGGGAATGCTAGTGCGTTCAATCCTCAAACAACTATTGCCAAAGGTATTTATAGATCACCGCTTACCAAATTACTAACCGATATTCTACTAATAAAATTTTCACATTAGTAATGAATTATTTTTACTAGGATTTTCACATTAAAACTGGGATTTGATATTAGGACCTCATAAATTATGAGTCAAAGTACAAAAAAAAAAAAATTTCCTACGCGATGCACGGTTTAAAATATTTTATTAATTTTAAATTCTAATATATTTTGTTATTTAAGTTAGTTCAAAATTCACTTTTTATAGGAGTATGTTTTTTTTTTTTTGCTAAAGTATAGGTATTCTCCTATTAGAAGCAATTATATTCGAAACATTATTAGGCACTAAATATGAGTAACTCTTTCGGTGAGAATTCGAACATTGATTCGTCACATTGTAAGAGACTAGCCTTTTTCATTAGATCTAATCCTTGTTGGTTTAGGAGTATGATTTTTTTTATTCATTCAAATAGGATTTGAATTAGATATGTAAAATTTGGGAGAACATATGAAAATTTAAAATTAATTAATTGTTTCTCCATTTAAACCCCAAGTAACATACTATTTAATTATAATAATCCCCTTTTAATTCAATACATTCAAATCCCAATTAAGATATTATTCAAATTCAAAATTAATTATGAATTTCTTCATTTGAGCCTTCAATTAAAATCCTATTTAATAATGATGCTCCTCATTTAATTCAATATACCTAAATTCTAATTAAAATATTATTCAAAATCTCATTAATTAAATATATTTGATCCCATAATATCATATCCTATTCGTTTTTAAACGAATAAGGTATTATAAGTTTTTTAAGAATATAGTTAATGATTGATGATTCTTAGTTTCATGCTACTTAGACTAAACATTATAAGCTCTAAAACTACACCAACTCATGTTCACTGTTTTTTCTTTAGCACAAGTATTTTTCTATTAAACATAATTTTATTCAAAATACTGTTAGATACTAAATATAAATATGAATATTAAGTTATGTTAACTTGTGTTAACAGTTGACAAAGCTACAAGACAACATGGGATGCCCTCCTCTTTCATTTGATATCAGGAAATAGGTGTACACATAAATACAACTGGGCTGAGACAAATAAATTGCAAAGCATAATCAGGGAGATAACGAGCTAATAAGCCCATGAACATCAGATCAATAAGTCGAAGCCCAAGAGCCCCTCGCACGGTGTTAGCACTTGGCAGAGTGGGGACATGGCAAGACGGAGTCCGAACTCAGAGGGAGAGAGGAAAGGATAGTGAAACGAAGACGCAGAGGGGCAAGAGAAAGAGCGTGGAGATTACACAGCTACCATCTCACAAATTAACGTTAGTAAAAAGGTTTTGTACCTAACACTTTTTTCTCACCAGAATTTTGAATCTAACACAGACTAATTAATTTTAACTGAGTTCTTAATACCTGTCAAGTAGTTTTTCTTCCCTTCACAATTAAGACCGGCGATAGTACACGTACATTGCACTCAACCTAGGTTCCCATAAGCCCTCCATTGCGGATTAATAAATAAATACTACCTTTGTTTCTTAATATCAGAACAAGTTAACTAATTTTAAGAGGCTAAAAAAATTATTAAATTATTTAATTATAACAAATATTACATGATCTTTTTAAGATACTTATGAGTATTATATATTAATTTTGTAAGCAAGTCAAGTTAATTAAAATAATACTCCTCCGGTCCTAATTATAAGACCCAATTGACTTATTTGAGGAGATTAAGGAAGTAAGTTAAGTTGGTTATTTATAATAAATAAGTGTTGTCATTCCTAAAATATCCTTGCTAATTAAGTATATTGGCTAAAACTATCATTATTAGAAGGATTATCTTGGAAAAAAATGCATAAATATAAGAGACAAAATGGATTGGGTCTTATAATTAGGACCAAATAAAAAGTCAAATTGGGTCTTATAATAAGGACCGGAGGAGTAATAACTTTCTTAAGTTTTTAAATTAGAGGAAGGACCCGGAGTATTAAATGACCTTGATTGCATTTGGTTCAACTGCAACGTACAACGTGTCGCCCATTTTGCGTTACGATATACAGTGTAGGTCAAGTTCGGATTTTGCAAATCTTTCCATGCTACATTTGACGAAATTATGGGTGCGTTTGGGTAGAGAGGAGGGTGGGAGAGGAAAACGAAAATAAACTCTTTCTATCATTTGGCTAGAAATTTTGGAAGAGAGGTAAATATCTCCCCTTCCCTCCTTCCCCTACTCTCATTTGGCTTCCCTTCAAATTAAGAGTTTTTGGAGGGAAGCCAAATATATTGACTATTTTATTCTAATGATTTACTCTTCTGAGTCTAAATATAAAATTTTTGCACTAATATATATAAGGGTTTTATATTTAGGATCAGAGGAGTATGTAATATTCTAATAATGTTCTTAGAGATTAAAAAGAGAAAATCAAATCCAACCATTCCCTTTGATACCCATCCGTTATTGGCCTGTCATAACCTTCACCTACAACCCCCTTCTTCGACATTTTGCTTAGATGTTTGGTTGTTTTCAGATGTTCAATTAAAACACTATAATTGATTTGAAAAGATTTCTGGATGCTTTGATAAAAAGTTTTAAAAAATGACTACATTGATAAAGAAAATGTTAATCTTTATAGATTTGTTTTTTTAAGGAAGATGAGAACAAAATGAAGGCAGCGGAAGCTTTAGAAATTTAAAAATATTAATGTATCAATTTTTTATGCACATCGTGACAATATTAATATACCACTGTATCAATATCTCAATACACATATTATTAACATGACAGAATGAATTTTCATTGAATTATGTAATTTGAATTAAAATATAAATTAATTAATATAATATATAAATATAAATATAAATTAATATGTAAAAATAAAATAGTAAATTAATTATTACTATTCCTCTCCTTTCTCTCTTGAATTAAATAAGAGATCATTAAATATTTTTTTCTCTCTTTTTTTTTAGTCAAATCAAACGAAGTAAGGTTAAAACCTCACCTATCCCTTCTACCTTACCCTTCCTTCCTTCCCCTCAAACCAAACAGGCTCATAAATGGACTCACACGTTATTAATTGACAATAATTCCAAATTAATCAACTTGGTTGCATTATTTTATATCGATCAACCTAATTCTAAGCATAGCAATTTTAGGGGGAAAATAAATGAAAAGGCAAAAATATCTCTCACCTTTTTTTTTTTTTAAATGGTACTCTCTTTAATCACACGTTTTTCCCCCTTCATGATGCACTTATAGTTTCCTCATACAAAAGGAGTTATTAGAGTCCACTAGATAATAAATCTTTTTAAAATTTAAATTAATAACATATTTATTAATTTTAGTTTTATGTTTTTGTCTTCATAGATTAATTATTTAACTTTTATCCCCAGTGCAATGAACAATATAATAAACGTTGGCACAGAACTGCCAAGTTGTCGTGCTATCGGAGCCATGAATGGACCTGCACCGGAATTGGGCGCATTATCGATCGAAAAGGACAATATACACGGATCATTAATATATTCTTGATGTATGAAGTAGTTTTATATTTAATTTAATTTTAAATATAAAATTTTAATTTATTTTATTTTATTTATATTTATTAACTTTTTTCAAAGTAGTTCAGCTACACGTATAAATGTTCAATCAAATAGTAATTCTAATTAATACATATAATTAACAAAAATAAATGATTATAAATAATTAATTTAATAAACTTTTGAAAAAATGGCAAATACAGATCCCCAACATGTGAAATTGTTATTTGGGACCCTCAATTCGGAAAATGGTAAACAAAAACCCGATCACATGCTGTAAATATAAAATTTTGGTGAAATGTCTGAAATCACAACTCAGATATGCCTCAAATGACAAGTTAACTATGGGAAATGACAAGTTCATTTTAACGAATGACAACTTCAGCGCACCAAATTACAACTTAGCTGAGGAGCATTTCAGACATTTCACTAAAATTTCATATTTACAATATGGAACCGGATCTTTATTTGTTATTTTTCAAATTGTGAGTCTCAAATAGTAATTTTACATATTGAGAGCTCTTTATTTATTATTTTATCTCAACTTTTTAATCTAGTTAACTAACCAAACATATACTGCGAGGGAATATAAAGTATGGTAAACTCCGTTGGTTTACCGAATTTTCTATTCTTCAAAACTGAGGGGAAAATCCCGTAATAGTGATTCTGTGTGGGTCTGAGTCAAGACGCAATATCCATATATCCCAAATTAATAAATTTCATGGTCAGATGAATACGAAACCTAGTTGAGTACACGTGGCAAAAACCATTTGGGATTGATCTCCTAAAACTGTCAAGTCGATCGAGAAGTGAATGTGATGAGCAAGGATCGCATTATAGATATCCTTTTGGTGACGTGAATGTCATTAATTTTCTCTCCTATAGTCCATCACTAATTAGCAAAAGATTAAAAAATTTCTGACTCAATTTTGGGACTCCAATTTTGAACCCAATCGCATGCCGACCAGGCGGCCTGAGCAGCTTCTATCTGTAACAGAAAACCGTTACACCGCCTTCACTTGGTCTTCTTCCTAAATTCTCTCCTTTCTTCAACTCTTCAGCGGCATCGCGATTTTACCACCGAATTGTTCTTCTTCGGTGAAGATGAGCACCATTCTAGCTCTCCGACCACTTTGTTATTGCGGATTATTACAGATAAATGGCGAATGTAGAACGTCTGTGACGTGTCCGCATTCTACGGCTGAGACGTTAGGGTTTATGAAGCTTTTTGGAATCAATGTGATCGGATTAGATCACAGTCGTAGAAGTTTGAGCATGTATGGTAACAGCGTGAGGTCAAACATCTTCAAGCCGATTAAAGCGGAGAATGACTCTGGCGCGTCTTTGGTTAATGATTGTGCTGAATATTCTGGTACTAACTTTTAGATACTTCTTTTCTGAAGTTGAACTTCTCTAACACCTGGATGCCTGCTTTTTCTGTGATGCTTTTCTTGTTCTTCACTGTTCTTCGCCTCTATGGGAAAGATAGCTGGCCAGTAATTTTTGAGTTAGAAATTTCAACCATATTTGTCATAACTTTAGCCGCGGTGTTTGCATGAGGTCAGCCACAATGGCAAAGAGTATTGACTCATGAGTGGTTCATAGGAAATTAAAAAAAAAAGAAAAAAAAGAAACACAGTAGCCTTCTCGTAATGTTGTTCCGATTAACGTCAAACAAAGACGGAAGACCTAATGCAAGGTGAAACTCGAGTTTAAAGATCATGAAAAAGCTATCCAGGAAGATTCTCGAAGAAACAAAGTAAATAAAGGCAACAGCAAGTGTTATATGGAATTTTGTTTCCATTTGTATTGTTTCCTTTTCTCGCTCATCTTGTTGCTCTCGAATGATCTGAGTCTTCTTCTAGTTATATCAAGAAGACTTTGTCTCTGATTTTTTGTCTTTTCAAATTGATACTGAGATTCGTTAGACTAATTTCTGGGCATCTGATAAACACTGCTCACTCGCCCTTGACTTCTCTATTAGCGATCAAATACATGACCGTAATTATTAGGGTTCTAATTCTACAAATTATTATCTACACAGGTAATAATATCGGCCAGATGTCAAATATAGGGAAATCGACAAACATTTTGTGGCATGGAACTCCAGTTCAGAAACATGATAGACAAAGGCTACTTCAGCAAAAAGGCTGTGTCATTTGGTTAACTGGTCTTAGTGGATCAGGTTTGTGAAATAAATTTAGTTGAGGGCTGGCGATCTCAATTTCCTGAGCACTTGAGCCAGTATTTAAATGATGTTTGGGTAAAAGATTTATAAGGAAAATTAAAAAGCTTCTTCTGTATATATAAGCGAATCAACACGATGATAACTTTTTCCATATTCAAAACCCGTATCTGTCATTTTAGTAGGTTTCCTAATGTTTGAGAAATGAAAACATCCACTCGCCAAACGCTATATCAATTAGAAACAAATTGAGATTCAGAATGGATGAAGTCCATCGATCTTAACCGGATCTAAAGGCACAACTTGTGTACAAGAAATAGGTTGTGGTTCCATTTTTTTCTCATTTCATATTCCTCAAGATTATAAAGTAGTTTAATTCATTTTGTTGTAATGGTGTCATGATTTTCGCATGTTGTCTATTGCTTTACATCTACGCATAGGAAGAAACAGGGACTATTTATTTTTGTCTTATGATCGCTCTTTATAACAGTTAATTTTATAAACTGAACTGGGTTCTTGTTTCCTCCTTACCGCACTTTTTGCCCGATAAAAAGGATGATGGAGCACACTAATTTCCCTCAACTGTCCAAGTAAATATTGATATTGTGTTGGACAGAGTACAGTCTTTGAGACTATTGTTTTATATGATGATGACAAATGCATATGGGCACAAGGGAAAGCACTTATCCAAGAAAATTTATAAACCCAGCAAAGGAAGTGATTGTATTATTTATCCATCAGTGGCCTGTTATATCTTTTATAGGTGGACTATATACTGACACTCAAAATACTAACAAATTTTACAGCTTTAATTGCCATTGTCCAAATTTCTAATTTCTGTCTGTCATTGTTCCAAACAAGACCTATGTTTCTGTTCAGGTTCAAAGTCAGTATGAGGTTGTCGAAATTAACAATCCAGGCGAATTTGTGTTTGCAATGTTTCAATTACAATGTTAAAGTATAATATCACGTGTATTACTGTCAGACCAAGCTTACTGTTGTTTTGAGGTATGTTAACCTATTCAACAGCTTGGCCTCTGAGCAGCTAACAGTATCTTTCTGTGTTGGCTAGAAAATTAAAATATAAAGATGTTTGAAATTGTTCTATGACATAATTTGAAGAAGTAAAAAGTTATTGAAGCATGAACTTTGCTGAAGCAGTTCTTTGGTATACTATCAGTAATGGTTGTCCTTGCTGTAGAATATATACAAATGATGAAGAAAATGAATACATGCTCTTTCATTTCTTCAGCTATGAGGATGCATATATAACACACCTGAATTGGCGAGAGGTGTAATTCTGTTTAATGATGCCTTTCCTGAGATATTTCTGTAACTTTCATTCTTCTATAAACCGTTATTCTCTCTTTAATTCATCAAACACAAACATTGATTTTAGGGAAAAGCACTCTAGCCTGTGTTTTGAGTCAAAATTTGCACTCCAGAGGAAAACTGGCTTATATCCTTGATGGGGATAATGTTCGGCATGGTCTAAACAAAGATCTTAGTTTTAGAGCTGAAGATCGTTCAGAAAACATACGAAGGATTGGTCAGTTACTTTATATATGCATCCATATATTTTGTGCTTGGCCCTTAAACTATTTCATTTTTATTTTTAAAATTTTCAGCCATCATGATTTAATAATTTTCAGGTGAGGTAGCAAAACTCCTTGCAGATGCTGGTGTTATTTGCATTACGAGTTTAATATCTCCGTACCGAAAGGATAGGGATGCTTGCCGAGCACTACTTTCGAAGGGAGATTTTATTGAGGTATATGCCTTTTTGTTTTGATAGTCAATAAAATAATAAACGCACGAAGCTTTGCATTTCTAACATGACGGGAAAAGCAAGATTGTTGAACAAGAGAAGATGTTCTTCATGCTTCTACCGACAATGTTCTTATGCTCTAGGTTTTCTTAGATGCGCCCCTAGACTTGTGTGAATCAAGGGACCCAAAGGGACTCTACAAGCTTGCCCGAGCTGGGAAGATAAAAGGTATTTTGGTGTTATGCATCCTTATGATTGTGTCATTTGGCCGTGTTAGCTCCAATAAAATGCGTTATTAGTTTTCTTTCTTCTGCATTTCTCTGCTTATTGAAGTTATAGAGTATCAGTTCTCATTTGCAGGTTTCACAGGAATAGACGATCCATATGAACCACCATCTAGTTGTGAGGTGCGTATTTGGTACAATGAGCATATGTCAGTTTTGTTCAAGAGAAATAATGAATAGATACTACAGTCCTAAAATTCAAAGATTATATTCTCTTAGCTTAGGGTCAGCTTTATTAAGGATGAGTGAGATGATAGATGGATACTATGAATATCCATAATTCAAAGATTTTGTTTTGTTTGCTCGGGTTTTAATTTTGACAAGAGAGTTACTGATTAGTCCTGGCTTTGGCGGAGTCTTTCATTCTGTAATTTCTTTTCCTTCTCTTGGGTGGTCTGATCTAAAATGCAAGGCAACAGGGCCCGAACTTAGTATCACATAAATTGTAAGCCTATTTTGCGTCTAGTTTTCTCTTGAAAAGTCTAAGCGTTCTTCTCTAGTTGAATTGCAGGTGTTTTGCTTTCTTCCCCTGTTTCATTCTTTCCTGTTTTCTTTATAAAAACTGAATGTATGTCTGCTCAATGTTGCAGATAGTATTACAGCAGAAAGGAAGTGACTGTGCTTCTCCGGGGGACATGGCAGAAAGAGTGATAGCATATTTGGAGGACAATGGTTACCTGCGGGCCTAAGGGGCCTTCCTTTCTTGTTTGTTACTGTCATAATATTTATTTGTAATATTGACTGCAGCAATAAAGCTAGCTGCAAGGAAATAACTGTTTCCCGCAAGTCTGCTTCTATTCTTTTTTTTTTTTGGTGAAGAAGTCTGCTTCTATTCATTACAAAGGATTGGTTTTCTGCGATTAGTTTATCCATAGAGGGATGAAGGGGTCGTTGATATTTCTGCATCGGTATACAGAGTATAATAGAATTAAAACCCTTGACGCCAGGGATATTAATTAATTACTTCTCAAATACCGTGACGCGACCCTTGAATGACTCTCTAAAAGGTTGCGAACATATGATGTGGTTCGACGGGAGGCGTGACTTCAAATGTGTAGCACGACTTTAAATAAAGAATTCTGCATGATTTCTCTCTCTCCTGCTTTTAAAACTTCAATGTGTGGTCGCCTCTTTAAATAAAGCTCTTTCATGTATTGTATTATTATGGAACCTGATAACAACCACGAAGAACTTGTGTATAAATTTAGATGGTTGTCTTGTACCGTCCAAGCGAATATCCTAACGGATTGCTGAATGATTTATCTCATGTGTAACCACCTTCTGTGATGGATTGGCATCATAAACCTCAGGAGCAAAGCAAATTTCTATGTCGTCATGCTTTACCCTCCTTTCTTTCCATAACTACAGCAATTTATTCGAGTCCCCAGTTAATCAAACTGGAGACGAACGTAACCCGGTGAAAATGATACTTGATGATGAAGGAATAAAAAGAACACAATATGAATCTATATCAAAGATATCTCTGAGCGGAGTAATAAAATTCAGGGATGTCGATTCTCAAAATAACCCACTATTGGCTATTAAAAGGGAAAAAAGAGCCAATACACGAGTGACCCAAATTTGATTATGAAACCAGATGAAGGAGAGGTACAGGAGATCAGGAAGAGGCAAAGACCATCGCACCTCCTGGTCGAGAATGACTGATGGAGAAGAGGCAGAGCACAAATGTGATGCTGATGGATATGGCGGCGGAGCTCACAGCGTCGAAGGTGGAGGCAAAACGCCGCTCTTGCAGACCCCAAATGGTTCTCACAAAGTAACCAACGTAATGCACCATCACTGCCAACACATGCGCCATCTTTCTCCCACTCTCACTAAATGCTGAGGACACTTGAGTGTAGGTGAATAAAAATAAGGGCCCTCCCATGCTTGCTTTTGGCTGCTTCTAACTCGAGAATTATTGTTGCTCAGTGTCCTCCCCAATAAAGATAGATTAGGTTGCTTCCGCGATGCTTCCTCTTTTCTATCTTATTCCAACGTCAAATTCGAAATGCAGTTACCGCCCCTTCACGTTCTCCACCTAAGACATATGCTGCATTTACCCGAATAGAAGCTGCATTTTAGTCATTGCGTCTGCTTGACACCTAACAACGGATGCCTCTCATCCAAATTCCAGTGAAAAAAAAAATGTTTTCCCAATACATTGCAATTAATTAATTAATTCAGTTTGGCCATAGAAAATATTACAGGTACTTTGCATTAAATTTGTACATAATTCAACTTTCTATTTTATATTAGCCACCTGGTGAACCTAAGCGTCACCGTATTATTTGACATTAGAGCAGTCGACTAGTAATTTAGCTGGTAATGTACTTAAAAGTTGAAATTCCTCTCGGACCCGCCAAAATATGGATAATCAAAATTTCACAGCTTATAAAGAAAATTAATCATCTGATTCCATAGCATATATCAATTTTCAATTTAGTCTTAATTTTTTTGGTAAAAAAAAATTTAAGTGAATTAGGTTCTAAAAGCTCATTATGATTAAGATATGTCTCCAGACTCATAAAGCACTTACAGAGATACTTACAAATCATCCATCAACTAGATTTTCATATCTGTAGCGAGATTTAAACTTATGACTTTGTGAGTTATAAGTCAACTCCTTGCAAACTGAAACAATTCTTGTTAGTAATTTAGTTTTAGTTAGTTTAAGAAGTTTTCATCCCGCTTCATACTCTTTGCATCGTTATCCAAGTTAATCCTCCTAGCTTTACATAAAGTTGAAAAGAGATCCCCAAACTAAATACTACTGTGTCACAAGAGCGACTCCGCAACATTTTTAGTGATGCGGCAAGCGCTCATCCTCAGAGGCGGACCCATGTGCTGATGTGCAGCTTTGCGGGCTTACAATGCGAAAACAAACCTAATGGGTTCCCGGGAAGATAGTTCCCAATTCAAACAGAGAGTACCCTCATCCAATTAAATTTTCAGCTAGAAAGAATTTATAATTTTTTGCAACAATTTTATTACGTCCCTCATTTAATTCCTTTGATACAACGTCCCTCGTTTAATTTCATTAGCTTCAACACATCACTAATTTGAACCATTCCAATTCTTTATCCTTCTATTTCACTTGTAATACATTAGCTCCAACACGGAAGGAATTAGCACCGAAGATCTCCTCTAAGCCACTGTCAGTGTTTATACCCAAGCTGCATGTCCCGGGCCATGGAAGGTAACCATCTCTCTCCCCTAACCTTTTTCAAATTTTCAACTCTTTCCTTTTCTCTCTGGGCGGCAGCTTTTGCTGCCGCATCTCTAGCTTCTAGTCTAGCCAAAGCCTTCTGATATGCATCTTCTGCTGAAGCCATAATATCTCTCCCATTGACAGCAACAGAGCGAACCTGCCGTTTAAACTGTCGAAACAACATGTAATCATTAAGAAAATTGCTATGCATAACTAAGACACAATAAGGACTAGGATATAGATTCTAGAGATAGAGTGAAAGACCTTCTTTGATTTCTCATCAATATCCTCTCCAGGAAGTATTCTAGGTCTTTTTCTTGGTGGCTCGGGCTCATCTGCAGGCATATACACAACCTTCACCCACATATACAAATGTAACCTGGTGATATCTCGGGCAAGATATTAGAAGTACACAATATTTTAACATTTCTGTAAGTTTCTGGTTAATCAGGAGAAAAGAAAAGCAGAATCTTATTTAGATCATTAGAGTACTTGAATGGCATCAGCTGGCAAGAATGTCAAAATCAATCTGGCAGCAATCCGGATTTCGTTTTTAATTCCTCAAATTAATAATTACAAGAGAACTTCCTGCAACTACCATTTTTTTAAAAAATATTTTATTCAGCTTCAATAGCTTTTCTATAGACACTTCGCAAGTAGCATGAACTTAATGAATATAGAACGCAAGCATATGGCCACATCGATAACCTGCCTGGCCGGACCTAGTATTATAAGGGAGACCGCAAGCATGCTGTTCTGAAGCTAGTGACTTGCACAACATTCCCTTATGGGGCCGAGTAGGGTAAACATTATAGTCATGTATTATTACAAAGTAATGCAAAATTGGTAATGAAGAAAATCTTCAATTTTTCATATTTTAAGAAAAATAGAATGAACAGAGGAAAGAGAGATGTAGGCAGATCCAGGTTATAGTCATTAGTGTTTATAATGGAAGCCCTTTTGACAGCAGTATGCTATCAGCCACTGCTTTAACTGAGAGCTGCTACTGCATATCTCAGAAATGTGACAAGGACGCAAAATAACAATTTACAAAGAACCTTTTTCTTTATAAATTTTCATTAACCACAAACAGGTGAGCACCGCCAATAGCATTAGATAAAGCCCTAATATTAGTATGTTACCAAAATAGAACCATCCTAACTCTCCCAACCCAAAATCAACCATTTGTATCAAGACATGGTGATTATCTCAGTGCTTGACTTTAAAAAGCCAGAAGTGGCTGCAAAAATTGCTTACCTACATGATCAAACACTATTCCTGGCTGAGCATGTTTGAATAGGCGAACGCCACCTTCTTGGATCTTGGGATCCTCATCCAGGATGGGCATAGGCTCTTTTACAATCTCTAATGTGTTTTCTATGATGTCATCCAAAAGCCTTTGTGCCTGTCCAGAGCATCAAGAACTTTTAATCATTGTGACAAGGCAAGGAGGAAGTTCGCATAGCAGATACAGAACCTAACTATCAGCAAGAAATCGGAAAATGAGGGACAAAAGGTAGAGGAGCAAAATAAGCTAAACAGAAGAAGAATTCTAGCTTTTCTTCCCCCCCCCCCCGGGGGGTGATAAGAATTCTAGCTTTTTATATAAAGACCCACAATACGTAAGTGATATGAATTCCATTACTACATATTGTTCCAGAGAAAAGATGAATTAGGTGATCTAAAAATCACTAAACTATACAAACAGCATGAATCTTCCTATATCCATAGTTGACTAGATGACATTGAGATTGGCTAAAAATAAATTTCCAAGATCGACGAGACAAATCCATTAATGAACAACAGTCTAGAGCAGACTTGCCGCACATTGTTCTTGATGTGCAGATATAAGTATAAACCAATCACCATAAACTAAATTTCACATAACAACAGTGAGCTCGAATAACCAACTAACCTACATTCTACAGACTAAGGGGACAACTAATCAGCCAAAAGGGAAAAGGTCCAATTCGTGTGTGATTTTTTATATACCTTTTGATTTGAAACTTAATCACTTCGAGCTTGTTTTAGCGTTAACAATGGTCCACTATCAACATCAACCAAACAGGTACAGATACCAATAAGCAGAAAATAGGAAGCATAGAGAACACTGACCTTGACTTGGTAGTGCTTCATCTGCTGGGTTTTGGGTTTCCGCTGTCCATCGTCGTCGTCATCACTGGGTTTGGCTCGCGACTTTTCCTTGGAGGCAGAGGAAGAGCCATTCATGAAAGAAGAGATGTAGCTGGTAGTTCCGGCGACGGATTCGATGGCAGCCCTCCACCTGGCATCTCCATCTTCCTCCCCACTGCTGCTGTCGTAGCCATTACCGGGTTCCCCCATTAAAATCTCTGCTTTTTATGTAACTATTTCAAGATTTCAATTCCACCTTCAGTGTCAGCCATAAACCCCTCAGTTAGGATTCTGTTTGGCAACTTTGTATTTTGATTCAAAATTCACTTGCAATTGAAAGATGAGGTGGTGGCACAACGTTTCTGAAACTCAAGAAAAAGGCGTGTTTTTTTAGGGCTACGACTCTATGGGCCCAATACTTTTTCCATTCTGTGAATGAGACCATTCTTCTGTTTGTTACGATTCTGGGCCTCATATATCTCATTTGAGTCCAGGCCCAATATACCCATATAGATACAATTTCAGCAACTATAATCCTGAGTTTTTTAATAGAAAAACACAATTCTTGTAAAACAAAAAAAAAAGGTTCTGATTGTTTTCCCCCTAAAAAAAGTGACAGGAACGACCCGCCGGAGGGAGAACACATGGTGTTGACGGTTGACTCATGTTTCAAGCATATCTTTTGTTCATTCTTTTTTTAATACAAAGCATATCTTTTTTTTTCTAAATGCAGTTATCTTCACGTGAGAGGTAATTCAGTTCAAATTACTATCCAGCATTAAATATGAACACTTCTTTATATGAAAATTTAAATTTTGATTTGTCACATTATGAGGACCCAATCTCCTCTACTAGATTTAAGCTCCATTGGTCACAAAGCATATTTTTTGAATACTGGAAAAGGGCATATCTTTTGCTTTGGCCAAACGGAGAAAATTTTCCTCAAGTTATATTTATAAATTCACATTGACTTTTTTTCTTTTTAAAACGAAAGTTGAAAAAGTTAGATTGTAGAGTTTCATAGTTAGTTAGGATGCCAAATGGAAAAAGGTATAAAGGAAATCCTTACAATAAGGAGATGGGGTATATGTCTTTTCACAGGCCACAACAACAGGTTAAAGAACGCCAGATGTTTATACTTGAAACGTATTTGCGCGAAAACCATTGTGTTCTTACTCATCTATCCGGGGACATTTTAAAATTCTTTGTTGCCACAAATCTATGGCTTGGCATATTCAGATTTTGAATACTCACCGGATCATAAATTAGTTTGTTAGTTACTGCTACCTCTTGTTGGTACCTCAACAGAAACTTTTTTTGGAAAAAAAAAATTGTAGAGTTTACCATGAAGACGAAACGTGCTGGTATGATCTAAAGAAAAAGACTACTGACAGATAGATCATGACTTGCATTGCTGGTGTTAAATTAAAATTTGTTGAAGAATTTGATTTGTTTTGATTGTTTAGAAGGGCTGTCACAAAGTGTTCGAAGTTTCTCATGGCAACTATATATATACTCCTCTGATCCTTAATATAATACTTATTTAATTAATTTGATTAGATTAAGAAAGTTAGGTACGTTAGTTACTTATAAGAAATGTAACACGTTTTTTTTTAAAACATCATAATCATCTTTCTTAATACCCCTTTCCCTCTTCTATTTGATTATAATTAAGAGAGTATCAATAGTGATAATTTAGAAAAAACTGATAAATATGAGAAATAGGTCTTATATTTAGGATCAAAACTAACTCAATAATTAAGTCATATATTAAGAATAGGAGGTGTGTGTGTGTATATATATATATATATATCTTGTAGACTAGAGTAATGGGAAAGTTGTTACATTGTCCTGGAAGTCGGTAAGTACCTAGCGAAACTGACTTTATCGATAATATAACATCTTATCTGATGATTTTCATTACCGATAAAAATGGCATAGAGAACAACATAATGGTGTCTCTGATGAGAACACCTAGAATTTACCAACAGAGAATAATTGTGTACTAGGTGTGTTGTCTCTGCCTCTCCAGTCTCCAATGGAAAAGAAAAATAAAAAAAAAAATACTCAGAGACTTCATAATCATGTGTCCTGTTGCTGCTTTGCTTTGTCAGATTTCACAATTCACACCAACACAAAAACACCTTTAGATTATCAGTCTTTCTTTTAACAGCTGTCTGATCCTTACTTTCTGGGGCGCCTTACAATCCGGTCAATTCACTTTATTACTCACACCCAATTTTTCTTCCTTTCTTTCTTCTTCTCCGTGCTCAGTTTTCTCACTGCCATTTAGTACTACATTATGTTACTCAGTGGATTTCAGTTTCCCTTCATCACTACTTCAATATATAAAAGTGGTGATATATAAGATAAAAAAGGGAGAAGACGAATCAGTGTTAAAGATAATGAATTTCATTTACAGTTATGTCACTCTTTATTCAAACACATGATTATGTAATGGTCGAAAATTGAAAATTGATGTATGATATCAGGTGCTGCTAAATTCAATTTAGCCTTACTCATGGCATGGATAATAATGGGCACAGAATTTCCTAGTTTTTCTTGGTCATCATGCTCGGATACACTGAGGGCCTTTTTTAACTATTTTACCGGACATTGAAGTAATCTAAAAATAACATAGATTTGCAATTTTATCCTATTTGAAAGCACGCAATTTCAAAAAAGATATGTGTTATAGTTACTTATATCTCTTATGTCATATTTTTTAATCACACATGGTCATGAATTCTATTTTCTATTTTTGAAATATTAGCATTTAATAATATTGAATTATAAACCCACATGAAAAAAAATAAAATAAGTGAGTTAACTTCATCTGAGCATTTTTCAAAGAAAAATTCTTGAATGTTTTAAATGGGGATGATTATTTCTGAAAAAACTAGCGAATGTAAATTGACTAATTTACATAAGATCGCGTCAACTTGTTCTAAACGGTGTCTAATATATATATATATATATATATATATAATACTAAAAAAACACCGGAGAAGTTTATATGATATCGGATTTTGGAGCAAAGCTTGAGAAAGTGCATATCTGAAACCAAAAAATTCATGGAGTTATTGAGAAATGATGATATAAATATATAATAAGCACAAACTCTTCCTTAAGGGATCAATAATCTTTAGACTATACACACACACACACACATATATATATGTATGTATATATGTATATGTATATGTATAAGACTCTTTGTTGAGAGTTACAGAAGGATTTTCTTTTGAAGAGGCAAGACGAAATCACATCATTGAACAGACTTTGTTAGGAGAACAGCAAGCTTGATATCATATTTCAGAAATTGATATTTAATTAATTGCATGATGACGATGAATTAACAGCTACTATTGCTGCGTATCATTATAAAAGATATATGATCGTTTTTATGTTTTTAGATTAATCAAATATATATTTTAAGTAAAGGGACACATCAACTGTATTCTTTTATGATAATTACATCATTAAGAAGAATCAGACAGAATAGAAAATCCCTAATGATGAAGCCCATAAGCAATCACATCTAACTTGTCTTGTTTCTTTAATTGATAAAAGAGAAAAAGCTTTCCTGGAATAATGAAACTTTTTAGTTTCTCATTAAGTTTGTCTCAATCATTGATTTGATCTCTGATATATCTAGTTTGTATCAATCAAAACCACAAATCAATAGTTATGACATACTTGAGGAAGAAAAAGTTTTTATTACCCATGTTATGGTTTTTGAACCTAATTAACATTGCCCCTCCCCTGTAAGATGGCATAGTTTAACCCAATTCAACGTCTTGGCTTGATTACTCGTCCCTCGTCTCCCAAAAGAGATTAATTAGCAACTATTCTCATATTGCTTCTTGATAATAAATTGAGGTAATACCTAAGAAGATATAATATCCGGTCCTTAATATAATATTTAATTTATAATAAAAATTGAACTATAAATTAGATCTTATACTATGAACAACTGGGATATAATAATTTATAAGTAGATTGAATTCGAATTTAATATTGACTTTTCAGAGTCAACTGGCCTAGCCAACTAGATCTGAGAGTAAAACTCCTTTCCAATTATAAAGTTTATGATCAATCTTGTACAACAACCTTTTGATATGTCCCGGCTTGCTCTCCGTTGAATGTGGCCGCATTAATTAAAAATTAAGAATAAAAATATATAGGCTAGTTGAAGATGGGATACAAATCCATGTTTTCATTACCAATTTAAAAGATGTACTGTGATCCTTTTTTCTGTGTACTGGAAAAGACTTGATCCTTAAGCCAAGACTTTTGAGTAAAGAAAATATATTTGGAACTCAAATCAAAAGTTGTCATTATTTTAGTCCATTAATTAACATATAACTTTGTTTGGATTGAATTACTCCCAATATTAATGTTGTGGTCTAATATTTGTTTATTTTATAAAACTTAATGTGTTAAAATATAATTAATTTTTAATTTTTAATTTAGAAAGAAAATATTTGTTCAAAAAGCCTTGAATTATTGAGCGGTAAACTGTCTTTATTTTATCCTTTTCTTTTTCCCCCAGTGCTTTAAATTAAGGCCCACTTATTGAAGTGCTCTTTTCAGTTGCCTTTATTGATAAAAGGCTGTATATTGTGTTGGTAATGACTCCTACAATTTTTTATTACATTTTGTTTAATATATTTGCAAGCTGCTATTTTTATTCATAACACGTGGATGTGGTTAACGGTTATCAACATTTTGAATCGCTTGTTTAAAGGTGTTGATGATGCAACTTGAAATAATTAATAAGCATCCTTTATAATTATAATTAATGAATCACTATCAAATTAGCAAAACGTATGTTATAACAACACATTTCAAAAATTAATCCACATGAGTAAGACGAGTAGACTTCCATAAACTTAATTTTTTAACTAGTATGAAAAGTCTTTGAAATAATTGAAATTAAACAGGAATAATAGTGTAGAGTCTATAGATCAAGAAAGTCTTCAATTCCAACAAGAAATCTCGGTGAAGAAGAACAAGGAAACATGAGTATAGTTTCCATCAAGATCGACTTCATCATCTACTCAAAATAATTAATCAACTGGCAAGGGAAAAACTAAATGCAGACAAATGCATGGCGTCTAATAATGAATAATTAATCTCAACTTATAATCCATAAAACAACAACCTAGTGATGGGAAACTAACGAAGGAGGAAGCTTAGTTGTATATGAAAGAAGAGAGATTAGTAATGAGTGATAATGTTATGAGTCCCGCGTTAGACAGTCTCACAAGTGCTGTGAGATTTATAATTAAGTTTAAAATGCTCTCTCTCCTAATATGTTAGTTTTTTGAGATCGAGATTTTTCTAAGGCTTATGTTTATCACATTAGTACTTTCTTTGATAGAGTTCAATGTTCACAGAGATGTGTACTCACGTGGAGGGTTCTGACCACTACAAGACCGAGTAAAGAGCTATGGTGTGGAGCGGTCGTGGATGTCAGCTCTCGAGGGGAGTGCATTGATATGAGTCTCACAAGTGTTGTGAGACTTATAAGTTCAAATGACTCTCTCTTCTAATAGACTAGGATTGGGTTCTCCGATTAAGCTTATACTTGAGGTCATTGCAGATGAAGACATGAAGTAGAAGAGAAAACAATTTATGGTAAGGCGAAGAGGAGTGACAATGGAAATGGAGCTTCTGAAACGTTACCAGAAACAGTTTTGGGTGAAGACCTTGAAGTGATTAATTACTGACGCTGCATGCTTATAAACCATCCAAATCAAATGAGAGGCATTGTGAAAAACTGAAAAAGTAAACGGTCGCGTGCCCTAGAACTTGCAGAAGACGACCACATCATTACTGCAACATTATTCTTATTATATTCCATTTTCCTTTTTTTCGTCAATTCAATGAGATATGGAGCAAGTAATTTACGGTTTATGTAGATTCAAACGGTTGAGTTGATGGGTGAAGTGAATTTTAATCTAATCTAGAAGAACAAATATTCACAAGTCTAATAATTTAAAGAAAGTAAAAATTATGGTGGAGTCTCAGGTAAGAAATTGATCACTATAAAATCTCTCAACAAATGATGACTTCAGTGTGATCTTATATTAATAATTCAGAAGATCAAATTGCTTATGTTAGAATGTACCCTAATTTTTTCATTTGAAAAAATGAGATGACAAGGGGGAAAGGGAAAGGTTGATGGGGAGAGGGATTAAGAGGCAAGCAACGTGAGTGGGTTGTGATAGATAGTGGGTTTGCTCATCATCATCCCCTTTCACGCCGGCAGCTTTACTCTCTCTCTCTCTCTCTCCAAACTCAGTTGTCACGCCTGCTTCCACTCACCCTTCTCTCTCTCTCTCCCTCCCCCCTATAAATAAAACAATGAAAAGCTAATCCACTAACCCATATGGTCATCTCTTTCTCTTCCCTGTTCCTTCTCTCCCCACTTTTTGTCAGAAAACTATTCTATTCTAACCCCCTCAGCTGGCTACCCCATACCCCTTTTTCTTTTTCTAATAACCCCCCCACCCCTCACCTGACTACCTCCCTTCCCTTTTCTTCAATATAATTATTAGTTCATTTGAATACCCTATACACTGTAGTACCATACCTACATCCTTATTTCTCATCGTTTTCCCAAACACAAAATATATATATAATTAGTTTTAATTAATGTCGCTCTATTGCACATAGGCATCCCTATTCAGAGCCTATAACTTGCAATATAACCCAAATTCATCAAATTTTCCCTAATCATTCTTCTGCACACACCCACCCAACTGTTGCAGTTAAAAACACCAGAACCCATCGCACTCTTTCTATTCACATTTCACAGTCTGTATTTTGTATTGATGTGAGGTTAAATGGATACCTTGTTTCGGCTTGTCAGTTTTCAGTCTCAACCAGCAACTGATCCTCAATCTCTCAACAACTCCTCTAGCAGAACTTCTAGCAGCTCTAGATCCTCCAGACAAAACAACAACAGCAACTTCCACCATCATCATCACTACCAGCAGCAAGAAGACGAAGAATGCTTCAACTTTTTCATGGATGAAGAAGACTTGTCCTCGTCTTCTTCTAGGCACTACTATCCTTATCATCTCCACCCTTCTTCCACCCCCACCACTGCTACTCCTACTTTCACCACCACCACCACCACTCCCACCACTTCTGATTTCTCCTTCTCCCTCTCCCCCACCGCTCCGGACTTCCACAACTTTGAATTCTCCGGCCGATGGGCTCACGACATCCTCCTCGAGACGGCCCGTGCCGTTGCCGACAAGAACACTGCGCGTGTCCAGCAGTTGATTTGGATGCTCAACGAGCTCGCCAGTCCCTATGGTGACACCGATCAGAAGCTCGCAGCTTACTTTCTTCAGGCTCTCTTCAGTCGTGTCACCGAATCGGGGGACCGTACCCACCGTACTTTGGCCTCCGCGTCGGAGAAAACATGCTCTTTTGAGTCAACCAGGAAGATGGTCTTGAAGTTCCAAGAGGTCAGCCCTTGGACTACTTTCGGTCACGTCGCTTCCAATGGCGCCATCTTGGAGGCGTTAGATGGTGAGCCCAAGTTGCACATAGTTGATATTAGCGATACATATTGCACCCAGTGGCCTACTCTTCTTGAAGCCTTGGCCACTCGCAGCGATGAAACCCCGCACCTCCGGTTGACCACTGTGGTTAGCCGCAGAGCCGGTGGCTCTATCGCGGCGGTTCAAAAAGTCATGAAGGAGATAGGTACTAGGATGGAGAAATTCGCTCGGCTCATGGGTGTGCCTTTTAAATTCAACGTCATTCATCACGCGGGTGATCTCTCAGATTTTAATTTCTCGGAATTAGATATCAAAGATGACGAGGCTCTCGCCATTAACTGTGTGAACTCGTTGCATTCCATCACGGCCTTTGGTAATAACCGAGACATGTTGATATCCTCGTTTCAGAGATTACAACCTAGGATAGTCACCGTGGTGGAAGAGGAAGCTGATCTTGATGTTGGATTTCACGGGTTTGAATTTGTACGAGGTTTCCAAGAATGCCTGAGGTGGTTTAGGGTTTACTTCGAGGCACTGGAGGAGAGCTTCCCCCGAGCAAGCAACGAGCGTTTGATGCTCGAGCGAGCGGCAGGACGAGCCATCGTTGACCTGGTGGCTTGTGATCCATCGCAGTCTGTAGAACGGCGGGAGACAGCGGTTAGATGGTCGCAGCGGCTGCATGGCAGTGGGTTCAACGCACTGCCGTTCAGTGATGAGGTTTCCGACGACGTGAGAGCGCTGTTGAGGAGGTACAAGGAGGGGTGGGCAATAACACATTGCTCCGACGCCGGAATATTCTTGGCGTGGAAGGAACAGCCGGTGGTGTGGGCCAGTGCATGGAGGCCTTGACGTAGTGGATGATGAGGATGCTGCGACGGAGTGATTCGCACGTGTTTTCGGTTTTTTTGGCACGTGCATGATGGGACGAGATTGCTGTGGCCGTGGGTGTTTTTATTTTTTTTTTAATTTTCTTTATTTGATCAGTTTGGCAAGACAATACGATTGGAGGTTGAGATGGTTGGGAGGGGGAGTTTGAATTTTCAATTATTCTTGATAACATTTTGTGATTAATTTTTCATATTACGAAGAAATAGGTTATGACTTTGAATATATATATTATATATATGTATGAAGTAATCAATGGCACAATTGTCCGACTATTTTATTTTTGAGCGGATGATGAACTTATTCCCTTAAATTAATGTCATGTTGCCTTCAAGAGATGCATTTTAAGAAAACAGAGAGATGTGTGCATTTAGATGGAATTGTTGGTTTCATTTGAGAAAAGAGTAGTCGTGTGTTGATAATATCATTTTTATTTGACTGTATAGTTTTTAGTTTAGATGGCTCAATTGTATTATATTTTAATTTTTTTTATTTTAAATGAAATAGGTCATAATATGAGAACAGTCTCTCATCCTTTTTTTTTGTGGGTAAAATGATGACTGAGAATTTGAAGTAATAATATAATTAAAACACCAAAATCTGAACAATTTATATATTTTTTAAAAAAATAATGGCATGGATTTTTTGATTTTTAGGAATACTAAAGCACAATTCTCATTATATTATTGCTAGCATTGATTATTTTTAAGTATAAAATGCTTTTTCTTTTATTTTTATTATGTTTTACGTACTGACAGCCCATTAGTTTTTATAAATTTCATTTTCCAATATTGCATGATCATAATTAATGTTTAATTGGAGTGATAAATAGTTTCCTATCATAACTTGGGAACCAGTTTCGGTGCTCATCACTTTCACTGGTACTCTATGCTCATCAGATCTGGATCGTCTATATCTCATTTAGATGATTTGAATTTGATTTATTTTTTATTTTTATTTATTTAAAATAACTATTTTAATATATATATATATAGAATATAAAATAGAAATAATTTTTTAACTGTCTTTCTTTCAAAAAAAATAGCTTTTTCTATTTAAAAATAAATAATTAAAAAATTATTTGTTATGAACATTCATATCTCAAGCGACAATATTCTCTTAATTTGATTAAAAAACATAATAATTTAGTCCCATATGATAACTTTTTTTAATCTAAACTGGTCATAAAATTAACTGAGAACACAATCTGCGCAGCACATGCTATCATTTTACACTCAAATCGCCTGGTGTATACAAATTGGTGCGAGATTCATAAGAAAAAGAAAGTTATAACGAAGTGGTAATAAAAAAAGTTTATGTTCAGTGAAGGTCACGCCCATATTGCCTTTAACGTTCGATTAAAATTGTAATTATGGAATCGTTGTGATGGAATTTATAGGTCAAAGGTCCTTTTTTGCCTGTAAATTTTTTTGAATACGGCATAAATTAAATTAGGACTTAAACCGCCCAATAAATCTATCACCATTGAATCAAAACTTAGAAGTTGAATAATCGGCATAAATAATGCAGGGTTATACCAAAATATGGTTATGCATGGTCCAATCCCGATCAACTAGCAAGTTAATTAACAACATAATTATGCCGGAGAAGATAATCGACTTAAAAACAAAAGGAAGGCTCAGTCTTACCATAATAATTTTTTTTTCCCCTTCCCGCAAAAAGGTCCCAAAGAAAGAATCAAGATTTGGTATTTGGTTTACAAAGATGATATCACCTGTGTAGGGATAATGGTGTATAATAATATAAAAAAAGTTGCCCATCCATACTGGTAATTAATATATAATAAACCAAACTAGCAAAAAACGAAGGAGGACGTGTTCATCAAGTCTTTCAAGTGATATATAGAATCTTTAGGACGGCCACTATGTTGGGTTTCATATGTGAGGGAATCTCATAAAAAGGAGCAGAGTCTCCTCAGTGGAAGAAGGGTCTTAGTGGCCAGCAAAGCACGCTGTCTTTGAATTAGTCTTTGAATGTCTTTCCTTTTTCTTTTCTCTCTCTAGAGTCCATCATCTTTATACATACATATAATTTTATATGTGTGACACAGATCTTAGCTTTAGCTTCTTTGTATGGCCCCCACGAAGCCTGAGCTCTTTCATGGAGGTGAGATAAGGGTTCACAAGAGGCACCTTTTGCCCATGAAAGCTAATATATTGTAACTGTCATGGACAATGAAAAGGAAACATTATGAATAGTGGGTTCATCTTTTTAGGGCTGCCTGCCCAGGACTTCTGGTGGAGCTTCCCCTCTCCACGTTTATACACCCACTCACCCCTCTCTTTATATATATATGTATATATTGCCTTTTGTGCTTTTGGAAAATAATCATATATTGTGGCTTTCATTCGGTTTTAATTTTCATAAAGGGAGTTTGGTGCAGGACCCAACTTTCTTCTACCAGTTTAGGCCTTTGGTATTCTTTTTCTATGACATTGACAACGACCAGCTGAAACCTTTATGTTTTAATGGGACCGACTTCGAGCAATAAAGTTTGTTCAAGCGTATTTGCCAGCCCATAGTACTCCTGGATCTTTGTCCCTCTGTCCCTGTATTTCCTGTTCCCGTAGCCTATATGGTTTCTATAATTATACCACACGAATAGTTTCTTTGATAACGCAATAATTGAAGAATCCAGTAACAACCAATATGTCAGGTCAAAAAAAAAAAAGGTAACAACCAACATGATAGTACCATTAGGGCTTACCCTTTTTTAACTCGTGGAGATCAATCTTGCAGTTGAATTTATGTGTGACATTTGTTTTTTTTTTTTTAAATTACAATAAAAGTTTAAGTGAATTGAGTACCAAAAGCTTATCAAGACCAACGTTTACAGAAATACTTACAGATAGCCCACCAATAAGATCCTCATATTGGCAGTAAGATTTGAACTCACAATCTTGTAAGTTATGAACCCACTCCTTACCAAATACCAAATGGACCAACTCCTGTTTGCTATGCGTGACATTTGTTCTCAAAACTCACTTGAACTATTTTGAGGTTGAGGCCCAATCGGATGGTAGACACTACATAGTACTCAGAAGATTCATCTTTTCAGGGCTCACTAGCCATAAGTCAATACCAGTTGATAAAAACTATGGGCTGCCGCCAACGTGGGGCTTAAGAGAAAACGGCGCCATGGACCTCGGGGCCAGGATAGAATTCTACATTAGCTGTAACAAGATATAGAACAACAAGTAACTATTTGGAAAATCTGGAAGTGGAGAAACGAATCAACCTTTGATCCCAATTTTGTTAAACCTGAAGAACCTGCTCTTATTATATTGAATAGCTGGATGAATTTTGTAAAGAATGGAGTAGTTAGTCACGGTGACTATTTTGTCAGTAATCATCCTCAGTCAACGTGGCAGCCACCTCCTAATGGTTGGATTAAAGTAAATGTTGATGGAGCAGTGTCCCATTCCTCGACTGGATCAGGATGTGGCGGTGTTATCAGGGACCATAATGATAAGTGGATTGCCGGATTTTCTCACTTCTTGGGATCATGTCCAGTAATAGAGGCTGAACAATGGGCCATTTATAAAGGGCTTCAACTTGCTTGGGATATGGGTTTCAGAAACGTTATTCTAGAGTCTGATGCCTTGAATCTGATCAGCTTATTAAGAGATAACAGGGACTTCAATAACGGTGGTCTTCTGATGGTTCAAATTCAGAAACTTGTCAGACTTCCCTGGCACTTGGAGATTACCCACATTAATAGGGAGAGGAATCGGATAGCAGATCTCCTTGCAAAAGACGGTTTATCTCATACTTCCCTACTTGATTCTTGTCCTCCCAAGCTTCAGGCCTTAGTTTCTACTGAGTGTATGGGATCTAATCCCTTTGATGTTTAAGTTTTAGTTCCGGGCTCTGCCCTCCTTTGTATAAAAAGAAAAAAGAAAAAAAAGATATAGAACAAAGCCCGAAGCTTCGTTGCTATCATGGCAGGGTCTTGAACAGATCTTAAAACAGACGACTAAACTAGATCCCAGGAGGCATTAACATGAAATCAGTATATTATATCCACGTATGCAAAGCAATTTCATGTATGTATATCAGAATCGGAAAGAAAAAGGTCAATAAATTTTGCACATAAGAAAGAATCATTTTACACCACTGTAAGTTAGGACTCGGTAGATCAAGACAAACACAGCTTGATTACCGGGAGAACTCCAGTCAATGGCCAATTTTTCTCGATATATACACGTGAATTAGGAAATGTGCTAACCTTAGTTCTTGAGACTATAGTCCTGCATCCGCGTCCTCCTGGTGTGACTGAACTCTTAGTTTTGAGCAAGGGTTTACCAATGCAACTCGGCGAGCTGCAGACTCAGGCTACATAGTTGATCAAATATTCAAATGTACAAAGAGCAACCTCATTATATGGATCCCCTCCATCCCAGAGGCAGCCTCCATTTTCTGTGCCAAAAGATAGAAACTCTTGACCATAATGGGAACTCAAAATTGTACTCCAGAGGTTGATCAGCAGGTCCTGCCACAATCAAAGGCAGCCATACATATCTTGAGTCCCTTAGGTCTGCAGGATTCCACCGATCTGCCATAAAAATAAATGAACCAGGATATCCTGGTATAGGGAGTACAAAAGTGCTCTGAGCAAAGAAAGTGGTCAATCGAAATACTTTGTTCCCTCCAACGCATGGATTTCCCATTGTTTCCCATGGCCCCAATATTGACTCAGAAGCATGAGCCAGTGCCTCGTTTGGGGCCCACCCAGTGCAGCCAGATGTGATCATATAGTATGTGCCCTGGTGCTTGAATAGAGCAGGTGCTTCTCTGTGCTGGCCCACTAGAATTCTTCTAATGACAGAAGTCACATTAAGATAATCTTCAGTTAAGGGTCCAATGTGCAGTTCACTATTTTCCACTGAAGAGTATATTAGATATGCCATCCCATCATCATCCTTGAAAACTGTCATATCCCTGCTTTCATATCCATGTGGCCTTTGGCTACCAAGATAATCAAAAGGACCAGCAGGAGCATCACTGATTGCTACCCCAACAGCAGCTTTTGTATAATTGGCATCGTCTATGTGCATCCACATCACATATTTTTCAGCTTTGTCGTTGTAAATCACTTTTGGCCTCTCAAGCACCTTGGACTTGTGCAGATCATGAGTTTCATTTGTTTCCACCGCCGCCAATACAATACCCTCATTTTTCCAACTCCACAAATCCTTGGAAGAATAACAGCCAACTCCTATAACGTCCACCTGAAGGGGACAGAGATAAAAGTCTAATTAGAATTTCTGCACAAGGCAATGCAGCCGAGTAAGCATACACAGTTTTTTTGTTGGGCCACCCCTTTGTTGCCACCCAAAGAAGCCGTCGTGGCTTATAACAGCATGGTATGACTTATAATATCAGCACCGTAGCAAAATTATTTAGAATGAGAACATAACACTGACAGGGAAAGAGCAGATTGATATACTGTAAAAAGAGTATTCACTCCATGATAGTAAGAGAGACAGAAAACAAAAAGCTTACTAGAGTGTGTGTATACATATATATATTAAAAAATCTTACTGCTGTCTTCCCGGCGGGTATGGAATCATTCCATATAAAAACTCACTAGTATTATTATCTTTGCAAGTTCAGTTTGAAGCTAATTATCTGGTTAAAAAGAAAAAAGAAAGTGAAAAACAAGTTACATCCTAAGTCCACTCAGCCTATTCATACCACAAATCAACCTCCACACCTTAATCTTATGCCACTGGTAATGTTTACTATGGCATTCAGGTCAATAATTTGTAATCCCTTAGTAAATCAAACCGCCAACAGGCATTTCCAATGCTATCCCTCTACAAAAGATTTCATATAAAATAATGACATTGAGAATATTCAGAACTCAAGATATTGAATTTGCTAATGAGACATAAGGCCCCTTGAACTAGAATCTTACATGAATTAAATACAGGTAAAACTACGCAGTTGTGCGTCAAAGTAGGGACAGTGCAGATATGTAAAGCCTAAAAGCCATATAAGCATCTCCAATCAGTGATAAAGCCTTCCGTTTGTTAAAGATATTGTTATAAACTCAACAACCAAAGGATGCAACGTCAAAGCATGGCACTAAAAATAAGAACTCGCCTCTTCAACAACCAGGAAGATGACTGAGCATCTTTTCTGTCCAGAAAATAAGACGCACAAATTGCCATTAGAGGGGGAAAAAATCACATTATACTTGAGAACAAGTGTTTTTCACGTAAAATGACTTACCCGGGCAGCTCCTTTCTTGTGAGCACGGTAAGTGGGCCCATCTTTGTACTCACCATACCAATAGTACGTCCTCGATTTCTTATCATACAGAATGCCACCTCCGTGGGCTTGAATAGGATTTCCGTCTGTATCCAGCCAAATTCTGCCAGGGTAGTAATAATAACTCTCATTCCCAGCATTTGCTGTATCTATAGCTCTTCTGTGACCAGGAAAAAATAGATGTCTCAGTTGTGAATTTTCATCAAGGAATTCATCAATCACTGTAGTTGTGCGCTTAGGTCTGCGTTTTGCTGCCCTAGGAGACCTCTTTCCCCTTGGTGGGGGAATTCGGATGTTCTCCTCCTCCTCCACTTCTTGAAGTTCACGGAGTTGGGGATGACGGCTTACTCGCAATTGGACCTCTCCACCTTCCCTATATCTTTGATGAATACTGGAATAGAAATGAATCAAAAGAATGCATCCTACCAAGCTCCACACCACAGCAGATGCAGAAAATCTGCTCCCTGCATTGCGACATAAATTTGTTGGTTTCCTGTATTTGTTCCTCATCCTCTTTCTCTCTTCCCTTTTATCTTCAGGCTAATGCTGCAATTAACAAAATGCAACCTATGGAGACCTCATAACCCCACTAAATTCAACTGACAAAGATTTAATCTACCTTGTACAAAAGACAATATGCAATTAATTGTGATAAAACCAATTCAGGGAATATGATACTAAATTATTTTAAAGGGTGACAATAAACTGTTGACTAGTTGGATTCTTCTCTTTCACTACGATATTCCACTCCAATATTGACCGCCGTCAATTTATCATGGTCGGCAGCGATTTGCCCCCTCAATAGATTACAAGTCAATTTTCTCATAAAACAAGAATCAAAGTGAAAAGCGATTCGTCAGATCCACCAGACCGTCACGCAACAATGCAACAAAGCTTACCCCTAAAATTAGCATCGCTTCGAGACAGAGAAGATCAAAATCCTCCGGAAGCTCGCAGATTACAACAACAACAACAATAACAGAGAATCAAATTGCGACCAAAGAAGAAGACTTACGTGATGTCACCCGAACTATGAACTGAACAAAAGTCCTAAACATGAGTCTCTCCTGCAGCTCTCAAAGTTAGAGAAACCGAGGCGCGACCACCAAAGTACGCCAATTTCAGTTCCTAGTCCCAATACGAGGCCGGCGGCGAAGAAGAGCAGAGAAGGGAGCAGGTGCAAAATGAAGAAAATGAAAATAACAGAGGCGGTAGTTAAGTTTGCGTGAAATTTCGATCTGAACACCGAGGTTGATGACGTTGACTTGCGACCGAATCTAGAATTGCACTATCAGACGGTGCTTTTTGGTGCCGAGTGTCTCAAAAGAGGGAAGACAGCTCTAGAAGCTTCAGCAAAACGAGCCTTCTTTCTGTTTGCCTCTCAAATCTTCTTTTACTTTGGCTATTCTCTTTCTTCTTTCGGCTCATTAGACGTTGATATTCTCAATAATTTAATGTCCACCTCCAATCACACTGGGACAGTTAGCAACAACTCATCGTTCCTCATCTTCAGAACTTCAGAACTTCCGGCCAAAAAGGGCAAAAAAAAAAAAAAAAAAGGAACCCTCCGAACAAGGAAGTGAAACCGGGAATCCAAGGATGTCACTCGCCAGGTACCTCTTTGACTTTTTTGCGCTGTGGTGGCAAAAACGAGAAGAGGACTTCTGGTTTTCAATTTCCTCGCCCTTGAGTATTTTCTTTTTTTGGCCAATGATTAATTTAAAGCTTACACAAGTTATAGGAGTAATTTTTAGAGTGTTATAATTATTGCTATAACAATATACTACACCCAGTATTTAATATAAGACTCTATTTGATTTTTATTTTAATCCTAAATATTAGATCCCAATATATTTTGTTTCTTATATTTATATATATTTTTGGGAAAATTACAAATAAAGACCCCTCAATATATAAAATAGCAATCAGGGACCCTAAATTTGACAAATTGCTCACAAGGACCCGGTCCCAATTTGCAATTATGAAATCATGGCCAAATTACCAAAATACCCCTCGTTAATTTTTTTTTTCAAAAAAGAACACCACTGCCTCGCCGGAATCCGGCCGCCGGAGCTCCGCCACCTCGGCCGTCGAAGCTCCGATGCCGGTGGCCGGATTCCGGTGGCCTTCCTTTATTATTTTTTTTGAAACTGTTTTTTTTTTTTAAATTGGGGGGAAGTGAGGTTGGGGGGATTTGATCCCCCAACCTCATGCTTCCCAAAATTAGGAATGACCATTGAGCCAACAAATTTTTGCTAACATTATAATACAAAAAAAAATATAAGTTAACTCATTTACTCTTGTTCCAGGTGATAACAAGAATACATTTGAAAATAACAAGTTCTGATTATAAAATAACAAGTCTGGGATTAAAATTTAACAACACGTTTTTTTTTATAACAACACACTCTGTTGCAGGTGATAACAACAATACATTTGAAAATAACAAGTTCTGATTATAAAATAACAAGTCTGGGATTAAAATTTAACAACACGTTTTTTTTATAACAACACACTCTGTTTCAGGTGATAACAACAATACATTTGGAAATAACAAGTTCTGATTATAAAATAACAAGTCTGGGATTAAAATTTAACAACACGTTTTTTTTTATAACAACACACTCTGTTGCAGGTGATAACAACAATACATTTGCAAATAATAAGTTCTGATTATAAAATAACAAGTCTGGGATTAAAATTTAACAACACGTTTTTTATAACAACACACTCTTTTTCAGGTGATAACAACAATACATTTGGAAATAACAGGTTCTGATTATAAAATAACAAGTCTGGAATTAAAATTTAAGAGCACCCTTTTTTTATATAACAACACATTTTATTCCAAGTGATAACAACAATACATTTGAAAATAACAAGTTCTGATTATAAAATAAGAAATCTAAAATTAAAATTTAACAACATATTTTTTATAACAATTAATTATTTTATACTTTTGAAAAATAAATTATTTATAACTTATAAAAAGTATTTTAAATCTATTTAATTTGCTAAAAAAATAATTGTTATCTCCAATTTATAATCAAAACTTGAAGTGTAATTTATTATAGATTAAAAATACTTTTTTATTGTTCAAATTTATAAATAAAATTTAGGGAAAATGACAACACACTTTTTTAATTTTTTTTAACAAATTTTTAATCTATATATCTATACAACTCATTATAAATCAAACTACTTCTTATAAATTATAAATAGTATAATTTATTGTAGATTAAAAATACTTTTTGATTGCTTAAATTTATAAATGAAATTTATCTCTAATTTATAATTAAAAATACTATTTTTTCTTTAAATATAAAAACTATTTTTAATATTTAAAGAATGAAATAATAAATTATACTATAATATTTAAATACTTAATAATAAATTTTAATATTTAAAGAATGAAATAATATAAAAATATTATAATGAGTTGTATAGATATATAGATTAAAAATTTGTTAAAAAAAATTAAAAAAGTGTGTTGTCATTTTCCCTAAATTTTATTTATAAATTTGAACAATAAAAAGTATTTTTAATCTATAATAAATTACACTTCAAGTTTTGATTATAAATTGGAGATAAAAATTATTTTTTTAGCAAATTAAATAGATTTAAAATACTTTTTATAAGTTATAAATAATTTATTTTTTAAAAGTATAAAATAATTAATTTTTATAAAAAAATGTGCTGTTAAATTTTAATTTTAGATTTCTTATTTTATAATCAGAACTTGTTATTTTCAAATGTATTGTTGTTATCACTTGGAATAAAATGTGTTGTTATATATAAAAAAAGGTGCTTTTAAATTTTAATTCCAGACTTGTTATTTTATAATCAGAACTTGTTATTTCCAAATGTATTGTTGTTATCACCTGAAAAAGAGTGTATTGTTATAAAAAAAACGTGTTGTTAAATTTTAATCCCAGACTTGTTATTTTATAATCAGAACTTGTTATTTTCAAATGTATTGTTGTTATCACCTGCAACAGAGTGTGTTGTTATAAAAAAAACGTGTTGTTAAATTTTAATCCCAGACTTGTTATTTTATAATCAGAACTTGTTATTTTCAAATGTATTCTTGTTATCACCTGGAACAAGAGTAAATGAGTTAACTTATATTTTTTTTTGTATTATAATGTTAGCAAAAATTTGTTGGCTCAATGGTCATTCCTAATTTTGGGAAGCATGAGGTTGGGGGATCAAATCCCCCCAACCTCACTTCCCCCCAATTTAAAAAAAAAAACAGTTTCAAAAAAAAAATAAAGGAAGGCCTCCGGAATCCGGCCGCCGGCATCGGAGCTCCGGCGGCCGGCGACTGAGGTGGCGGAGCTCCGGCGGCCGGAACTCCGGCGCCGGCGGCCGGATTCCGGCGAGGCAGTGGTGTTCTTTTTTGAAAAAAAAATTAAAGAGGGGTATTTTGGTAATTTGGCCATGATTTCATAATTGCAAATTGGGACCGGGTCCTTGTGAGCAATTTGTCAAATTCAGGGTCTCTGATTGCTATTTTATATATTGAGGGGTCTTTATTTGCAATTTTCCCTATATTTTTTCTAAAGTAATCATTCTAATAATGATAGTTTTAGTCAATATACTTGATTAGCAAGGATATTTTAGAAAAAAAACAACACTTATTTATGACAAATAACTAATTCAACTTACTTCTTTAATCTCTTCAAATTAGTCAACTGGCTCTTATAATTAGGACTGGACGTAGTATTATTTATTATTTGAAAAATAAAAAAATAAACAATTATTAGGAAAGCATAACTTATTTGGATTCTGCCTAAGAAGCTACTCTTTCTTTAGCCGTGAGAGAAGCGTGAGGTTAAACTTTTTGAATTTGATTTAATTTAACAGCATTTAAGTAAACAATAAAGGTATTATAATAAATAAAACTTTTGCGTTGGCCAAAAAAAAAAAAACTTTTGAAGGAACCGAACTACTCCTCCGGTCCTTATTATAAGACCCCATTTGACTTTTTATTTGGTCCTAATTATAAGGCCCCAATCCATTTTGTCTCTTATATTTATGCATTTTTTTCCAAGATAATCCTTCTAATAATGATAGTTTTAGCCAATATACTTAATTAGCAAGGATATTTTAGAAATGACAACACTTATTTATTATAAATAACCAACATAACTTACTTCCTTAATCTCTTCAAATAAGTCAATTGGGTCTTATAATTAGGACCGGAGGAGTATTTATTTATTTTTATGGAAATTTCACACTATTTATAAATAATAAATTATGCAAATGTTTTAGTTTGGATGCGCATATTTTTAAATTTATTTTAAGTCTTTCCATGTCTTCATATGTTTTAATGAGTTTTAAATAATTGCTGGCAAAAAAAAAAAGAATTAGTTATGGCGTTTCTTAATTAGGAATTCGATAGACCACGACCTGTATTAAGGTATGGAAAGGCTTCCCAGCTGATCATCTAATTAAGAAGCTTTATTAATTATTATTTAAAATGTATTAATATTTAATATTAATAATTGGGAAAAATCAAATAGGAAGTACAGGACAAGAATTCTAGGCCCACCAAACCAGATGGACCATCCAATTCAATAAAAGTTATAGTGAGAGTTGGGTCTAATAAAAATGTTAACCTACAAACTAATATTTGACTTTTTGCTAAAAAGAAATATGCACATTTAGGACATTGTTGTATCTTGAACAAAATTGTTTTAGGATACATGTCCTTGAAAAATACTTCAAATAGGATTACATCTAATAAAAAAGCTACTATGCGTAGCAAAATAAAAGTTGTGATAGATAACAAGGTGTAAAATATTTAAATTTTTTTTATTTTATTATTTTTAAGCATTGTATCTCATGGTTTGTTTACGGTAGAAAAATCCAAACTCCCCCTGCCATGCCAAATGATAGCAATACTAAACCACTTTTATTTATCCTACAAACGGATAATATGTACAATTAAATAGACCACTCTTTCTTCATCCAGGCACCAAAAAAAAAAAAAACCACTCTGGTCTATGTACACTTGAGCATCCATGGCTGGTAATGCCTAGAGCTAGAAGCACTGAAACTTCTCTCTTATTCTCTCATATTCACACCTTAAATTGGGGAAAAAAATAAAATCAAAATAAAATCCGAAAAATGACTCATACCCCCTATCTTGATAAATTCTACCTAACTCGATCTTGCATTCTACCTTTACAAATTGTAAATAAAATAAATATTTCCTAACTCCTATCTATCCAGATTCGGGAGTTCTCGTTCTAGCCCTATAAAAGATGGAGGGAGATGAATTGTTAGAGCACAGAAAAGCGCGTGCTAGCCACGCGAGCACCAAGATGATCATGACAATGGAGAGAGACAACATGGATGCCCACAAGAATCTAAGTGCAAGTTTTAAGGGTCTGCACTGGTGCAACAATATATCTGAAGTTCTGTCCTTGAGAAAGGAGCATCTTGATAGGCTTTGCAAGTCTGGATATATGTCCAGAAAATCCTGAACAGATCTGCTGTAAGCATGAGCTATGTTGTACCATGCTTCTGGAAGAAACTTCGCTTCCTTCTCACAGTCCTCTGCACTTTCATCTTTCCCACATTTGAATCTTGCCAGAATCTGATGCACCCATGCTAAGCTTTGATTAGTACTATGTTCTAATTTCAACTCCTTAAACATGGGACCTGGTATAGTATCAAAGAAGTCTTACTTTTGGTAAGTCGCCAACTGGGATGGCATTCCGAGGGCAGGTTTTGGGAATGAAGTTGTAATCTGGTGGTCCAGAGAAAGGTTCACATATCTTTACAATTCCTATCACTTTCTGGGCCTGCTTGTCTATTCCCAATACACCATAAATCTCCGACATTTTAGCATTCAACTGAGCACACAAAAAATGAGATTTTTAGAACATTTGTGTTGTACTCGGAGTAAACAACATTAGATTATCTCTACCTCTGCGATGAATGTGTGAATTGTGAAGCCTATTCGAGTCATCAACTTGGCTGCGTCTGAGTCGTTCATGCATGGCAACATGGAGCTCAGGCTACTGTTTTGTGGGTTCTGCTCGAATTCCTCAAAAGCAAAACATGCCTCTTCTGCAAAACTGCATGGACGATTTTATTAAACCATGTACGTACGAAGAAGCGCCTTGGAAAAAAGGGGTCCAATAATTGAAGCTATATATGTGCGATTCAAGCATGAACAATGATTTTTTTACTCACGTGTGTAAGAAAAAATCAAAACCCGTCAAGACCCAGCACAGGCTTGTCAGCATCCAACAACAAAAGATTATGCTGAAACAACAAAACCCACACTGTCACATGCTGCAATCACAAGTTATAATTCGAGCCTTAAAGAGTAAAGATAAATACACTAATATCTTACGTGATAAATCCGGGGCGCCAAAACAGCAGCAGCAGGACTGAGACAGAGTCAAATGTATGAGCAAGTTAACGAACTTTTTGTAAACATTTAAGAAATGAGCACGCTTGTTGTACTAGGAAGTAGGAACATATGCTTAAACTAATAAATTGACTTTGCACAGGTTGTGCTTACCTAGTGCTGCAATCAACATAGCTAAGTTGACGGCCACAACAACGAGATGAGCAATATATCTAGGGCAAATATAAAGCGTATATAAAATCAATCAACCCGTTGATTATTTACAAAAAGAAACTAGAGTAAAACAAAAAGAATAAAGTCATACGAAGTATGAATGGCCTTCTGGAATATACGACCACTTGAGTCAAGAAAACGACGGATCACCCGCGAGTCGCTTCTGAAACTTTCAATCGTAGTATTCAAATTCCCAGTTATCTGTTGGTTATATGGAAGCAGAAGGTATTGCATTTGTTTCATCTTTTTAATCACTGTGGTTAATGACCTCAGAGCATCTTCTCCTATGCCCAGTACTGAATCCTTCAGTTTCTCTGTTCTCTTCAGGGCCTTCTGATTGGTCACGAACACCAAACTTGAAGCAACTCTGTCACACACAAAAGAGTGAGTGTATGTATATATATAGGTGCTTAGTATAAATCAAATCACGGAATTCGAAGAGAAAGAGAAAGAAGATTGTGGGGTTACATGGCGAGAGAAGTCAATAAGAGAATCAGTAAGAAGAGAAGGATATGGTGATTGTCCAAACAGTCTTTGAAGGGTAATGAAGCAGAGCCACCGCATAGCCATTTGATGATCATGAAGATTCCAAAGAGCAGCCCACATAATAACCAAACTCCGGCAATGGCGTAGCCGTGAACTCCTGTAAATGCCGCAGACTGAAAAGGATCAGAAAGCAATACGTAAAATCAATTTATGTCACCGCACGTTTCATTTGCAACATCTGTATTTTGGTCATTTTGAGTTATGGTTATATGTAATGGCAGAATATAGAATGTATCGATTTGAAAAACTACTTACAGCAAGGTAATGCTTATCTCGAACATCAAAACCTCCATTGTAGTGTTTGAAACGTCGAAGTGGATCCGGTCTCTGGAAGCGCTTATCAGGAACAGAGGAACCCGACACGAGCCGGATTTGTGGGAACACAAAATTGCAAATCAAGAACAAAATTAAAGGAAGAAAGAGGGAGCGAGCGGTTGGGTTGGGCATGGCAGAATCAGTTTAACTGTGTGGGTGATTCTGAGCAAAAGGGAAAAAGACACCATTGGGGTGTCTCGAAGTGCTACAAACTAGGGGAGTAAGAGAAAAGAAATGTGACTTAGTGAACAAGGTAAGAATAGCTTGTGGTCATGGTTTAGTGAAGAATTTTGATATGTCGAAGGAAGGACAAATCGCAATGTTAGAGATGGAGGAAACGAATCGAGGGCCGAAATTGGAGGCTTGCAATCCCCAAGCCTGATCAACTTGACCAATTTTAGTACACTGTTCTGCCAGGCTTTCTACATAAGCCAAGCTCTTTGCTTTCCTTTTTAGTCTCTATCTTCGATCTACGTTTTATTTACTCCATAAAAACACTTCTAACATTCGCATGGAATAAACAAAAATGACTGGCTTTGTTGCACATATAATAATGCCTTTTCTTTTAATGGTGCACGAGCATGTACCGTCGCACTAGGGAAAGTAACGATATGGAATTGGGATAACTTTGGGAAAAATATGAATTTAAAGGTTTGGTTTATCTTTTGTGAGTTGTCCAAATAGCCACGGGAGAAGGATACTATCTCTTTATAAGGCTAAAAAGGCCTTGGAAAAAAATATGCTGCCCAACAACAAAAGTAGAGAGAGGTATGGGGATGTTTGGATCCAAATCAGACAGAAAATAGATATGAAGAGTTAAGATTCACCAGCCAATGACATGGAAAAACACTTGCTAATTAATCATGCTTTTGACCAAAAATATTAAAAAAAATACATATTCCCTCTGTCCCAATTTACCTGTTATTTTATGATGATAATTTATAATGAAAATATTTTCGCCTTCCAATTTCATAATTAATATGCAATTGCTAAATGAGTACTGTTTTGTGATCATATAAAAGTTAAAAAAGGAAAAAAAAAAACAATATGGATAATTGAATAAAATTACATCATAAATTAAGTTGTTTATCACATTTCTTAATTTTTTCTTTAATAAAGTATTTAACTACACTTAAATTGAAATGAAGGGAGGATGCATCCATATGTAATATAAAATTATACATCTATATATAATACAAAATATATTTTTTTTTTATAAAAGTTGATTTATTAAAAAGATAAAACGATACAAAGTAAAAAGCCTGTGCTTGAAATGATGAATACTACCTCCGGTTATTAATATAAGAGCTGGTTTGACGTCTAATTTGATCTTAAATATAAGACCTTAATCTACTTTGTCTCTCATATTTATCTATTTTTTTAAGGTTATTTTTATAGTAGTTATACATATTAAATGTTTCATGAAATGGTAATTCTAGCTAATACTCCTCCGGTCCTTAATATAAGACCTATTTAACTAATTTGATTAGATTAAGGAAGTTAGGTAAGTTAGTTAATTATAAGAAAAATGACACATTTTTCCTAAAACACCATAATTATCTTTCTTAATACCCCATCTCCCTCTTTTACTTGATTATGGTTGAGGGAGTATCTATAGGGGTAATTTAGAGAAAATTGATAAATATGAGAAATAGTTCTTATATTTATGACCAACACTGCCAGAAAAATGGCTTTTAACGGCGGTTTGGAGCCGGAGTAAAAAGAGTCGACGTTGAAAGGATTAGAAAACACGGCGGTCATTAACCGCCGTGAAAAATAAACTTTCAACGGCGGTTTTGTTGAAAACCGCCATTGAAAATAAATTTCCATGGCGGTTTTATCTCAAAACCGCCGTGGAAATTCAAATTTTACACGGCGGTTTCTGATAAACCGCCGTTATAAAATATTTTCCACGGCGGTTTTTAATAAAACCGCCGTTATAAATTAATTAACGGCGGTTTTTTGAATAACCGCCGTTAAATGTTTTTTTTTTTCATTTGTCATTTTATATTTTACCACCTCCCTGTAGTTTAGGTACCCAAATCGATAGAGTAATATATATGCAGCACCATTTGAAGATTACCAGATAAACACCAAAGCATTATCTCAACAAAACTATTTGAATATTACCATATATGAACATCAACTATAGTTAACATTCAAAAAATGAACCAATATGCGAGGAAGCTAAGAGACCATTTTAAAGATTCTCTAACAACGTGGTTGACAAAGAGTCTCTTATCAAATTGATCTCCTCCATGCTATATGGCATAACATTTTCGAATGCCTGTAAATCAAAAATGGATTCATTAGTCAACTTGATTAAAAATGTGAAAAAATGGGCAGAATTACATGCAACATAAGCTATATTTAATTACCCCGTGTAATTTTTCAGTTACCCATGTCTCAATAATGTCATTGATATAACGGATGACATAATATCTGCATTCAACTTTCCCAGGTTGACAACGATACTGAAAAAATAAAAGATTTATAAGCATTAGCTAATTTGATGATTGAAAAGATTTATAACTACATATTTAGCTCAAAACAACATACTTGTGGGAGAAACCATGTTGGTGGTTGCATATTTTGATGCCTGGTCATAAAATTGAAAGTGTGAAAAGCCCTATGAACATTCAAATATTAGAACATCAGAACACATTTTTATAAACTTTATATGTAATAAATATATAGTTGATGTTCATTGGGTGACGAAGCTTTCTTGGATCGCTACCGAATTGAGGAAATTTTTGATCTATTGTTTTCTATTGAGGAGAATCTGCTAGGTGATGAAGCTTTCCATCACATATTTTCTCATCGAAATGCCATATCAAGTTCTTTGCTTCTGTGGCATTAGCAAATAGACGCTTAAATCGTGGTATTATTGGAAGATACCACAGAACCTTCAAAGGAGAACCTTTGGTCATCTCATTATAATCACCACCATCTTTCTTAACCTTGTATCTTGAAGTCTCACATTTAGGGCACTTATTCAACCCTTCATACTCATTTCTGAATAATATACAGTCATTAGGGAATGCATGTATTTTCTCATATTCCAAACCCATCGGACACAAAATCTTTTTTGCCTCATACATTCGTTTCAGAAGTGAATTCCCCTTTGAAAGAATATCACTCAGCAGTTTAAGTAATTCCGTGAAACTAGCATCGGTCCACTATTTTTGCCTTCAAGTTCATCAATTTCACACACACGGTTGCCAACCTTGTGTAATCATCTTTACACCCTGGGTATAAAGGCGTTTCTGCATCACTACACAAAGTTTCGAAAGTGGAAGAAAACTATGTAGAAGATTCAGACCTTATGTCATGAAACATATCCGAAATTCTATCACCAAAGTCTTCATTCACAACCTTCTCCTTTCCAGATAGTGTAATCTTTCTAATTTCTCCATGCCATATCCAATTTGTATATCTCAAATTTATCCCATCACAGATAAGATGCTCTTTTATCTCAGAAATACTCCTCTGACTATTGTTTAGGCATTTGACACAAGGACAATAGTATAATCCATCTCTTTGATTAGGGGCATTTCTCTGAGCAAACTGAAGAAACCTTTCAACCCCATCCTCATATTCTTTGCTAATTCTCTTAGCTTTCATCCAACTACGATCTATTGTTCTACAGAGTCAATGAACATAGTTGTTTTTCAATATAATTTTTCAATCTAATTTTTCCTATAACAAATCCTAAATTTGTATACAAAATTAAACAAATCAATCAAACCAATATAACAATGTAACAAAATTAAAAATAGGATTGAAGAAATATAATAAATAAAAAAAATAAGAATTTAATTTCAAACCAATTCAATGAATAAAGATTCTTAAAGATAAAATTTCTGAATACAAAACGGGGAACACAAACAATATTCATTTATAATGAAATTTTAAATAACACTTTATCATCAGTCAAAGTTCATAACGAAAAAAAAATCACAAAACAATTAACAGATTATTTATTACTAAATTATAAAATTTATTTCAAAAAATTTACTAAAAATTTGAAATAAATATCAAAAAATTATTAAAAAATCAAAAAATTCAAAACTAATCAACTTCAAACTTTTAAACATGTTTCTAATACCGTACATAAGAAGGAATTGAGGTTTTCTCACATCCAACGTCCCCAATCAACAACTCAACCAAATAAAAAATGCAAAATCGACAATGTAAGCCAACCACAATGTAAAACTAACAAACCTATTCGAAATCCAACGGATTTTAACAGCCAAAACATCCAGGAAACCAAAAAAAATTGAAGAGAATGAAAGAAGAGGATACTCATAGAATAGAGATGATTCAATGTGAAAAGAGGCATGACTCCACGGCGGCAAGGCGGCAGCAAACGGCGGCAAGACCACACAAGCAAAATGGAGAAGTTTAAAAACGGCGGGACAGTAGAGGGAATGGCCGGTAATGGAAGTTTTTTGGTGGTGGGACAGTGGGGGACCACGGCGCACTAAGTCGAGACTGTGAAAATGAGAGAACCAGAACGCGTCGTAGGGTTTAAGTTGGAACTTTCCACGCGGTTTTCCAGATAATCGCCGTGGAAAATCAAGAGTTATTCCATTTATTTACAAAATTGCCACCGCCTTTTTTTCCATGACGTTTTCCTCTTAACCACCGTTATTTTGCGATGTTAAATGTTTTTTTTTCTCTAGTAGTAAAAATCAACTTAAGAATTGGGTCCTATATTAAGGACCGGAAGAGTACATATGATTAGTAAGAGTATTTTAGAGAAGATAACACATATTTATTATAAATAACTAACTTAACTATTTTTTTAATCTACTCAAATTAAGTACCTAGCTCTTATAGTAAATATTGGACGTATTATTATATAACAGGGATTCAAAGTTTCTGTTCTCTTTAGCGTTCGTGACTTCTATTCGGTCTCTTCATTAGCATAGTTAGTTATGGATTATTTTTTTGTTTTCAAAGGATTGCATATCCGTTGATTCAAAATGCGGTTAAAATATATAATTCAATTGCATTATCATTTCCAATCACTACTAATGTAACATCCTAATTTTCATATTGCTAATATTTAAACAAATTTTTGTAGAATAGGTAGAGGTCAAATATATATATGCAATCAAAATAATTCT